ATAAAGGGTCTTGTTATGTAGCTTGGATGCATAGTGATCCTCCTGTCTCAGCCTCCCTAGTGCTGGGATTGCAGGCATGAACCACCATTCCCAGTTTCAGAGGCCAGCAAGATATGTCTAGAGCCAGGGATTAAACCCAGGTCCTTGTGCTTGTCAGGCAGATGCTTAGACTGCTGAGCTGTTTCTCCAGCCTGCCTGCCTGCCTGCTTTTCTTCTTTCTTTCTTTCTTTCTTTCTTTCTTTCTTTCTTTCTTTCTTTCTTTCTTTCTTTCCTTTCTTTCTTTTCTTTTTTTTTTTGTATTTTTTAGTAAGAGTCTACAGGGTCTCACTATGTAGGTTGGACTTGTGATCCGCCTGTGTTTAGCCTCCCAAGTGTTGGCATTACAGGCACATACCACCATGCCCAATTTCCATTGCCATCTCAGTGTGCCCCGGGGGCGGGGCTGGCACTGCATGCCGGGAATTGAACCCTAGCTGCTGCATCTGTCTAAGCAAGTGCTTTAATCTGCTGAGCTATTTGGCTGCCTGCCTGCCTGCCTGCCTGCCTTCCTTCCTTCCTTCCTTCCTTCCTTCCTTCCTTCCTTCCTTCCTTTCTTTCTTTCTTTCTTTCTTTCTTTCTTTCTTTCCTTCTTTCTTCTTTGAGATAGGGTCTCACTATGTAGCTCAGGCTGACTTTGAGCTTACTTTGTAACCCGGGCTCATCTTGAATTTATAACAACGCTTTTGCCTCAGCCTTCAGAGTGCTGGGATTGCAGGTGTATGCCACCATGCCTGGCCTAGGCCATTTCTTTACAATGTGAGTTTTGGCAATTTGTATCTTTCAGGAAACTGGTACATTTCATCTAAATTATCAAATTTATGGGTATAAATTGTTGTAATATTTATTTTCTTTTTAATACCTGTTGGATCCATAGTGATGATTTCTCTCATTAACATTATGAACAATTTATACATTTTTTTCTTAACCTGGGTAAAAGCTCGTATATTTTATCAAACTTTTCAGAGAATTAGCTTTTGGATTCAATGATTTTCTCTATTGATTTTCTACTTCCAACTTAATTGATTTATGCCCTAATTTTTATTATTTCTTTTCTTTTGCTTTTTTTTTTTTTTTGGTACCAGAGATTAAAGTCAGGACCTTGTACTTGCCAGGCAGGCACTTATGCTACAGAGCTATCTCCCTGGCCCCATCATCTTCCGCATGTTTTTGATTTAATATCGCTCCCTTTTCACATTTTTCAGCTAGGAAGTTTGGGTGGTTAGTTTAGATCTTTCTTCTTGCCTTAAACCTTCATCCAGCCCTGTCCACATCCTTCCAGGCTCTGTGGTTGTGCCCCATGAACTTGGCATGTAACATACTCGTTTCCACTTAGTTCAAAACAATTCTAAATTTTTCTTGAGACTTCTTTGTTGTGTTATATAGCAATGTGTTGTTTTTTCATATTTATTTATTTATTCATTTATTTATTTATTTATACAGGGTCTCACTATGCAGTTCAGGTTGATTTTGAACTCACCATGTAGCCCAGGCTGGACTTGAACTCATGGGAATCCTCTTACCTCAGCCTCTCAAGGGATTACAGGTATACACCACCAGGCCTGGCAGAAGTGTGCTATCTAATCTCTAAATAGTTTTGGATCTTCTAGCTACATTCCTGCTATGATTTTGTGGTGGCCTGAAGGTATATTTTGCATGACTTTTTATTTTATTTTTGGTGTTGGGGATTGAATGTGGAGCCTTGTACTTGCCAGGCAGGTGCTTATGCTATTGAGCCATATCCCTGACCCTGTATGAATTCTTTTTCTTTGGATTTTAGGGAAGGGTCTACAGGGTGTTCAGGGTCTCAATACTAGATTGGATTCATAGTGATCCACCTGTTTACAGCCTCCCAAGAGCTGGGATTACAGGCACGTGCGCCACCACGCCCAGTCTCAATTGCTGTCTCAGTGTGCCTTGGGGACAGGGCCAGCACTGGGGGATCGAACCCCTGGCCCCTGTACCTGCTTGCAGGTGCTTTAATCTGCTGAGCTATTTGGCCAGCCCCTGAGTTCTATTCTATTCTTTTAAATCTTTTGGTTGGTTTTGTGGACTATCTCGTATGTATTCCATGTAATCTTGAGAATACTACCTGTTGTTTTGTTTTGTCATTCTGTACTGGGGATTGAAGTATACTCTCTAGGTCTTTTGTACTGAGCTATATTCCTATTTCTTTTTGTAAATTAAAATAACAACAACAAAACTTTTTGAGGCAGGATCTCACAAAGTTGCTAAGTCACCCAGGCTTGGCTCAAACTTGTCATCTTCCTGTCTCTGTCTCCCAGGGTGTTGGGATTACAGGTGCGCACCACCACTCCCATCTTGGATGAAGTATTCTTTAAATGTTATTAGCTCGAATCACCTGATGGTGCTATGCAGTTCCATTATATTTTTTACTGATTTTGTGCCCCTGATGTCTCAAGTACTGTGAAGGAGTATGGCAGTCTCTGACTGTAACAGGATTTGCCTATTTTCCATGCCCTTTTGTCAGTTTCTGCCTGCTGTAGTTTGACACTCTTGTTCAGTGTATGCATCCGAAGTACTGTTGCGGTTTCCAGCAAGCTGGCTCTTCCATCATTGTGCAATGCCCTCTTTATTCTTGTATTTTTTGCAGGGTCTCACTATGCAGCTCGGACTTCTAGTGATCCTCCTGTTTTCAGCCTCCCCAGCTCTGGGATTACAGGCACTCCAGGCCTGGGCTCTGTCACTGCCTCAGTGTGCCTGGAGGTGGGGCCGGCACTGTTTATCCTTGGTCATTGTCCTTGTTTTGCTATTTGTTTTGTCTGAAAGGAGCTTATTTTCATTGGTATGGCTAGCATGGTATATCTTTCTCTGTCCTTTTCTTTTTAGTCTGGACCTGTATATTTCAAGTGAATTTTAAGTAGAAACATAGTTAGCTCAGGTCTTGGCTTCTTAAAAACCCATTCTGATTTGTTGAAACTGTACTTCCGATTTGATTTGAAACTGTCTCATTGCTATCTGTTTATCAATAAAACTTTGAAAAGAAAAAAAACCCCATTCTGATAGTTTCTATAATAATGTATGCAAGGTCCGGGGAGATGGCTCAGTGGAATAAGCACTTCCCTGGCAAGCGCAAGGACCTGAGTTCAATCCCCGTTTCTGCAAAAAA